TCAGCAGTTCTCAGCACCTTCACTGCCTGGGCAGGACGGGGGGGGGATGACACTGAGATAGAGCAGAGGGGACACACCTGGCCACCCCATGATTGTCCCCTTTCAGATGTCCCTCACCTGGGGGTTGACATCCAGGATGCACATCCTGCCTGACTCCACCACGGCGCGGATGGAGTCGATCTTGGTGCCGTAGAGGTTCCCCTCGTACTCCCCGTGCTCCAGGTACCGCCCGGCCTTGATGTCGGCTTCCATCTCCCCCCGCGACACGAAGCGATACCCCTGCCCGTCCCTCTCGCTCTCCTTCGGCTTCCGCGACGTGTCTGTCCCAGGGGTGGCTCCTCTGAGTGTCACCCGTCTGAGTGCGAGTGGCACCTGCCTGCCCCTGGGGTGTCACACTGGGATGGAACCCACAGCCCGTGGGAGGGGATGGGGTGGGGAGGTGATGCTGCAGCTGCACACCTTGGGGTGCTGGGACAGGGATGGGGACACTCACAGGGGATGGGGACACTCATAGGGGATGGTGACACAGGGGATGGGGACACTTACAGGGGATGGTGACGCTCACAGGGGACAGGGATGGGGATGTGATGCTGCAGCTGCACACCTTGGGGTGCTGTGACAGGGATGGGGACACTCACAGGGGATGGGGACACTCATAGGAGATGGTGACACAGGGGATGGGGACACTCATAGGAGATGGTGACACAGGGGATGGGGACACTCATAGGAGATGGTGACACAGGGGATGGGGACACTCATAGGAGATGGTGACACAGGGGATGGGGACACTTACAGGGGATGGTGACACTCATAGGAGATAGTGATGCTCACAGGGGATGGTAACACAAGGGACGGGGACACTCACAGGGGACAGGGATGATCACAGGGGACAGAGATGTTTGTGGGGGACAGGGATGTCAGCAGGGACACAGATACTTGTTGGGGACACAGATGCTTGTTGGGGGCAGGGATCCTCACAGGGGACAAGGACGCTTGTGGGAATGATGATGCTGGCAGGGGACAGTGATGCTGATGGGGACAGTGACACTGGCAGGGACAGGGGACACTGACAGGGGGCGTGATGCTGATGGGGACAGTGACACTGGCAGGGACAGGGGACACTGACAGGGGGCGTGATGCTGATGGGGACAGTGACACTGGCAGGGACAGGGGACACTGACAGGGGGCGTGATGCTGATGGGGACAGTGACACTGGCAGGGACAGGGGACACTGACAGGGGGCGTGATGCTGATGGGGACAGTGACACTGGCAGGGACAGGGGACACTGACAGGGGGCGTGATGCTGATGGGGACAGTGACACTGGCAGGGACAGGGGACACTGACAGGGGGCGTGATGCTGATGGGGACAGTGACACTGGCAGGGACAGGGGACACTGACAGGGGGCGTGATGCTGATGGGGACAGTGACACTGGCAGGGACAGGGGACACTCACAGGGGACAGTGGTGCCGTAGCGCGCCTGGTCGGACATGATGAGCTTGTTCTTGAGGCTGCGGCGCCCCACGCCCTGGGCCCCGATCAGCACCAGGGTTTTCCGGCGGAAGGGGGGCACACGCGCCACCTCCTCGTAGATCAGCAGCTCGTGACGGTCAAACTCTGGGCAGGGGACAGGGCTGTCACCCGCGGTGGCACCCACCTCACCCCCTCCCGTGAGGTGCCACCGTGAGTATGTCACAGGCATAGGCTGGGGACTGTCCCCTCTTCCCTGGGGACACTCACCCGCGTTCTTCGTCGTCAGGTACATCATCCTCTTCTTCCTCTTCCCGCTGAGGCTGCCACACAGGGTCCCTGCCGAGGGCACGGGGGGTGGCTGAGCTGGGGACGGGGACAGGGACAGCGCCATGGCACGGGGACAGTGCTATGGCATGGGGACAGTGCCATGGAAGATGGGATGGGCCACAGGGACAGTGCCATGGGGATGTCACCTGGGGAATTGGGATCTGTTACAAGGACACTGCCATGGGGATGTCACCCTGGGAATTGAGGACCTTCTGTGGGGACAGTGCCACGGGGATGGGGACATGACCTGGGGAGTTGGGGACCTGCCACAGGGACAATGCCATGGGGATGTCACCTTGGGAACAGGGGACCTGCTATAGGGACAGTGCCATGGCATGGGGACAGTGCCATAGGAGCTGGGATGTGCCACAGGGACATGACCATGGGGATGTCACCTTGGGAGTA